TTAAGACTTCATCCTCCTGTGGAACGCTGCAGAACTTCTATGTGGCTACAAAGAGCGCACCAATAAGTTAAGACCAAAATTGCTGTATTTGGCCCCTTTTTTAGTGTACCCTGTTGGGGATGTCTCCAGCCAGCTCTACAGCAAAGCTGCCATTTTCTGTTCTGTGGGGACTAGGGACCTCTGGAGAAAGTGAGCAATTCTAGCGTATTTCCAGCTGGAGACCTAATAGGGCAGGATCCATAGCCACTTTGGCAACTCCACCTTAAGTGGTCCAGAGACACAAGAAGAATCAATGGCAGAGCCCGAAAGCCCTCCTCCCTCAACCACACTTGTACCACAGCCACTAACAGGATCCAGGAGCTCTGAATTTCAGTCCTTTGCTCTTATCTCTCAACCAGTATCAAAACACTGGTCATATTTAACTTCCTTCTTTCAACACAACCATAAAAATATTGAGGTTTCTCCTCATACAGCAGCAACCACCACCATTCTCCTGCCAGCAGCGACTGCCTCCCCGTGCAAACTGCCGTAGCGCCGGGGACACTGACATGCACAGTCACGACAACTGCCAAGTGTCATCCACTTCTTGACTGCCCTTAGGGCTACACAGGAACAGGCTCCAAAGCAGCATTTATCTAACTACCCTTCTCAGAAAGGGAATTGCAGAAACAGAACAATAATAGCGGGGTCGGGGGGGAACCCTTTAAAAAAGCAAGATGTTCGTTATTTCTTTTGACAGAAGCAGGCAGCTTCTTGCAACAGCGGCCGGGTGGAGAGCAGGCAGGCTCGATCCCAAGTCATTTGTCCTTTGCAGAAGCTGTTCTTTCTTTCTCTCTTGAGACTGTTCGCTCTGACCATCTCATGAAGAGGCCCACGAGATTTCCCCCATTGAACTGTATCCCGTGGAAAGCCGCATTCATTTTTAATTTAGGGAAGTAAACGGTAGTGATATTATTTTCCCCCTTTAACCAGGCATTTTCAGCCCCATTCAGAAAATGCAAGTCTCCAGCCTGCCGGGTGCACGGCTGAGCTCTCTGCCCTGAAGTTTTGGGGAACAGCGAGCGAACGGGGGGTTCGACAGCAGCGTGGCAGCACACCACCAGGGTGGGGTGAGTGGGTTCGGGGAGGATCTGCTCCTCCTGCATGGGGCAATCACATCTTCCAGCACAGCCAGCGCTCATGTACTGCCCCGCTGCAGACTGCCTTCCTCACCCGCCTCTGGATCCTCCATGTGCCTCCCCACCGGCATATCCCCTCCCGCCCCCCTCCTCCATACCGGAGACCTGACCTCCGGCGCATACCAAGCCCTGGGACTTCAGGGCTCTCCTGTCCCCTGGATTGTCCCTTGCACCCCAGCCCGAGGGCGACTCCCCTGAACACCCCCCTCCAGCGAACAGGGCTCGGGTGCTTCTGCCCTGCGTTTCCCCCGGCCGCCAGCTCTCTCCCGCCGGAGCAGGAGCGCGCACGTTTGCAAGCGCGGACGGCGGGGAAGGAAAAGCGCCGGTGGCCGGACAGGGAGCCGGAGCTGCCGGCGGGAGAGGAGGCAACAGGGCGTCCCGTACCTCCAGCATCCAGAAAGCCAGCATCTTCCGCATGTACGGCTTGATCTCCCGCTGCACGCACTGAAAGTAGGAGACGCGGGGACTGTAACGCTCCTCCTGGCTCAGCAGGTTCTGCAGCACCCGCCGGTCCCCTAGGAGATGCGGGGCGG